AACCCTAAAACCAGCACAGGCATTGCAGAAGGTATCTGTTACTGCTCAGGGAAGGAAGACCAAAAAGCTGCAAAAAATTATAAGTTTTCAAAAACTATATACCACAATTTAAAAAGGTGTTTAGAAATCAACTATGCTTTTAAATTTACATTATATAGAAAATAAGTTAAGCTACCTACAAGAGCATAATTCAAACAGTAAATTAAATAGAAGTCAAAAAATAGGGACTTAAAAATTCTTAAGTTAAGATGGGGCTCGAATGGTGTCAAATATGTACTTTCCGGCTTAATTTTGCTAAAATATACAAAATAAACAATTTAAACATAAAAAAGCGCTCATGAAATTATTGGGAGATGAAAGTTACTTATTAAGGTTTGATAAGTGACATTTATGGATAAAATTATATAGAATCTCATGGTTTCAACAATTTTCCAGCGCGATGTCAAATAAGTATTTTCCAGAATTATATTAATCGCAAAGAAAAGGCTGTCAAATTATTGGGAGATAGAAGGTATTAAGTAACCCTTAGATGAAATTACGTCTACATAATTACTACTTTGTTCTCATCATTCACCCCAAGCCTTTACCTCTTTTAGTTCATCCCACACACGACATCAGTCTCTTTCGCCGACCCTAGCCATGTAGTTACAAATTAAAATTTAATATTTGAAAAAACTCACCATAACGTTGTAATGGCAATCGCAATCCTTTACCAGTCCCATTATCTCCTCTCTACCAGCACAGGCATTGCAAAAGGTGTCTCCATCACTGCTCATACAAGGAAGACGAAAAAGCTGCAGAAAATTATAAGTTTTCAAAAACTATATACCAACATTTAAAAAGTTGTTTATAAATCAATTATGCTTTTAAATTTACATTAAATAGAAAATTAGTTAAGTTACCTACAACGACGTAATTCAAACAGTAAACTAAATAAAAGTCAACAAATAGAGACTTAAAAATTCTCAATTTAACATGGGGCTCGAATGCAGCGTTAATTATTAGGAGATGGTAGGCAATTACTAAATTTTAAGAAGTAATAATTGTGTTAAAAATTACGTATAATCTCATGGTGGCAATGACAAATGAGTACTTTACGACTTAATTTTAGCTAAAATATGCAAAATAATTTAAACATAAAAAGCATTCGTGAAATTATTGCAAGGTGGTAGGCTTCTCCTAAGTTTTGAAAATTGATGATAATGTTAAAAACTACGTAATAATAAATAAGAAATTTAAACATGGTTATGGAATTATATATGAATAATTATTATTTGAAAATGCTCACCATTACCTTGTGATAGCAATCGCAGTCCTTTACCAGTCCCATCATCTCTTCTCTACCAGCACGGACACTGCAGAAGGTCCATATATATCACTGCTCAGGGAAGGAAGGCAGAAAAGCTGCAAAAAAAATAAAATTTTTCAAAAACTATATACCAACATTCAAAGAGGTGTTTAGAAATCAACTATGCATTTCAATTTACATTAAACAGAAAATAAGTTAAATTGCATACAACAACGTAATTCAGACAGTAAACTAAATAGAAGAAAATAAATACAGACTTAAAAATTTTTAATTTTACATGGGGCTCGAATGTAGCTTTAATTATTAGGAAATGATAAATATTTACTAAGTTTTAAGAAGTAATAATTATGTTAAAAATTACGTAGAATCTCATGGTGTCGATAATTTTTAAATACGCTAAATAAATTAAACATAAAGAAGCGTTCGTGATATTATTGCAAGATGATAATGTTAAAAATTACGTAATAAATAAGAAATTTAAACATGGTCATGGAATTACATATTAAAAATTAATACTTGAAAAAGCTCACCATTACGTTGTGATGGCAATCGTAATCCTTTACCAGTCCCATCATTTCTTCTCTACCAGCACGGGCATTGCAGATGATCTCTATCACTGCTCATAGAAGGAAGACGAAGAAGCTGCGAAAAATTAAAAGTTTTCAAAAACTATATACCAACGTTTAAAAAGCTAGTTTAGAAATCAACAATCCTTTTAAATTTACATTACATAGAAGATAATTTAAGTTACCTTCAATAACGTAATTCAAACAGTAAACTAAATAGAAGTTAATAAATAGTGACTTAAAAATTTTCAATTTAACATGGGGCTCGAATGCACCATTAATTATTACAAGATGGTAGGTATTTACTAAGTTATGAGAAATAAAAATTTGTTAAACATTACGTAGAATCTGGTGGTATCAATGATATTGAGTGCGGTGTTAAATAACTACTTTACCACATAACTTTTGCTAAGACATGCAAAATAATTTAATCGTTAAAAAGCGCTCGTCAAATTATTAAGACATTATAGGTATCTAAGTTTAAAGAAGCGATAAATATGTTAAAAATTACGTAGAATCTCATGGTGTCAAGTGCGGAGATAAATAAGTACTTTGCGACATAATCTTAGCTGAAATACGCTAAATAAATTAAACAGAAAGAAGCGTTCTTGATATTATTGCAAGACGGTAGGCTTCTACTAAGTTTTGAAAAGTGATGATAATATTAAAAATTACGTAATAACAAATAAGAAATTAAACATGGTCATGGAATTAATTACATATGAATAATTAATACTTGAAAATACTCACCATTACGTTGTGATAGCAAACGCAGTCCTTTACCAGTCCTACCATCTCTTCTCTGCCAGCACAGGCATTGCAGAAGGTATCTGTTACTGCTCAGGGAAGGAAGACCAAAAAGCTGCAAAAAATTATAAGTTTTCAAAAACTATATACCACAATTTAAAAAGGTGTTTAGAAATCAACTATGCTTTTAAATTTACATTATATAGAAAATAAGTTAAGCTACCTACAAGAGCATAATTCAAACAGTAAATTAAATAGAAGTCAAAAAATAGGGACTTAAAAATTCTTAAGTTAAGATGGGGCTCGAATGGTGTCAAATATGTACTTTCCGGCTTAATTTTGCTAAAATATACAAAATAAACAATTTAAACATAAAAAAGCGCTTCTGAAATTATTGGAAAATAGTACCCTTGTATTAACTAATGAAAAGTGAAAATGACGTTAAAAGGTGCGTAGAATTTCATGCTTTCGAGTGCGATGTCAAACATACACTTTAAGGCATAATTTTATCTAAAGTATGCAAAATAATTTAATGATAAGTTTTGAGAAGTGATAAGTATGTTAAAAGTTATGTACAATCTCATGGTACCAATGGTTTTCGAGTTCGCTTTTAAATAAGTACCTTCTGGCATAATTTTGACTAAAATATACACATTAATTTAAACATAAAGAAGCGCTTATGAAATAATTGCAAGATGGGACGCTTTTACTAACTTTTGAGAATTGATAATAGTGTTAAGAATTATGTAGAATCCCATGGTGTCAGTGGTTTTCGAGTGGGGTGTCAAATAATCTTTGAAAAATATTACCATTAATTTTTCAAGCTGTTATTGTAACTGTATTGCAAGATGGTATGCTTCTACTATTACTTTATATTGAACCCTAAAAGTGAACACCTGTATAATGCCAATATGATAACATCATACAATAGTTCATACGCAACTTAAACACTCTGTACTAGAACCAAAATTTGTTAGAAGGAACGCCAAAATTGGATACTTTTATTCAGGTTCGTGTCTTGACCGATCATTGAAGTCTCTCGACAATATCATTATTTGCGCCTTATTAGAGTAATAAAATTTAACAGAATATATAGACCAATATTTCAGGTGCTAGTTCTTGTTCTATCAATATATTTTAGAAGTCATTTTATCAATTTTGGGATCGTGCAGTCGAAATAAAGTGCGCGGTTGCAAGAAGATTTAGTTATCTCTCCGGAATTTTTAAGAAAATACGGAATGTTTTCCGCATTAAAAAGCAACTTAATATCAGAACAACGAAATACACTGTGGTAAACTGTATGTTCAAGTAGATAATCACAAAAAAGAAGGTAATATTTAATTTTCTGATTTAAATTATTTTTATTTTGTCGTAGTCGTGATCCGTCCGGATAACACATTGTAGTCGCCGTTTTGAGAGTACGGAGTAATTTGCATTGAATACCTTTGACGCTATGGGAAGATCATAATAACCCCTTGTCAGTATAATATGGCCATATAACTAAACCGTCGCTACCAAAAAAGTCAATGTAAGAAGTAATATTACGAAACTCATTTGCAGACAAACCCCAAAATTCGTAACTCCTACTCATTCACTGTTTATTCAATACCTTTTGATATATAATATTTAATATACTAGCAGGTGCCTACGTCTAATAGATAAGAAAACTACACACACAATTTTCCAAAAAATTATGTTTTAATGATAAAACAAAACCACAGATGATTGAATCGGTGGACATCGTACGCTTTACAGTAAGGAGAGCAACTTTTCGGAGTGGAAAAAAATAACCAATGCGCTCGATTGACATGAAACAGTTGCACGTATGTGCTTAAATACAACAAACGGCGAAATTAAATAAAAAGGAGCTTCAGTTATATGATTTCACGCTCTTACTTTTTCGCCAGTTCTTAACATTTAACCTAAACATTACTTTCAATCCCGCTGAAATAAAATAACGTAATTGAAGAATTTTTTTGTTTTAGTTACGACTACCTCATTATATTTTATATTTACTCATACAAAAAGAAAGATAAAATAAATCTATTTAACGTACACACTGCTTACTATCTGTCTTTTTTAATGTGAAAAAAATAAGATTCATTCGTTTAACCAAAAGTAGTAATTTTTTTATTAAAAATTAGCAAACAGTGTAACACAAATTTTCGTATGATTTTGATATTTCAATTTTTGTTTCTCAAATACGACACAGAATTGTCAAGGTTTGTCCCCTATTTCGATTTTCAGCTTTATTCAGAACCTATGTAACTTAATACATATTACTGCAGAGCCGCTTTGTGTTTAATTTTATCATAATCTTTCGTTATTATTATTATGATAACTATAAGCGCAATGTTACACTTCCTTACTATATGTTATATGCTGATAGATGCTCAATACAATATGCAAATAAGAATAAGGATAAACATAGCTCAGTAAAGGAATAATGAGAAAATAAGTAAAAATAGGCAATTGTTTCACAAAGTAATCAAGTTCAAAAACTTAGAAAACCCCCAATTTCGATAGACTAAAAAACTTTTATTGTACTTTCCACAGTTAAACACTAAAAGTAAAAATTGAAATAAATATCAATTAATTGCCATTTTTAAAAATTAAATACATCTATGTTACATTGTTGAAGACCTAATTTTTTCGATTTCAAAAAGTGCAAAACATTCCGTATTTAAATCAGATCCTTATCCACCAGTGAAACGCCGAAATGACCGGACTTACAGCTTCGAATTCTCGAAACTGCAGGCCCGACCATTTTGACGCTGTCACTGAGGGAGAAGGATAAATACGGAGTCGCGGTAAATTATATAAGCTAGCTATCCAGCCGCTCTTTCCGAAGCCCCAACCTCATACAATGAACTACCTAGGCGCCATCAGCAGTTCATCTGAGTGGAACAACTTACTCAAGAGACCGTATAATATACCTAAGCGTGGCTGCTAAGAGCGAGCTATATGTATTAACTAAACGGAAACAAATGGCGGTGAAAAGGTTAAACTAAAAGACATTTATTCACGCCTATTATACGAAATTTTAAACAAAATTTATATTGG